AAACCCCAAAACCCCAAAACCCCAAAACCCCACTCCTCTGCAGACATATTGAAAAATAAAATTTAAATTTAAGTTTTTATAATAATAAAATGGAAAGTACTACTAAAGCTATTGAAGAAGAGAACACCCAGATAATCAGGTAACTGAGAGCTTAGTTTAAGAATACTTTAAAATTTCACTCTCAAATTTGTAACAAGTCCCAAAACTTTTAAGTTTAACCAACATTTTCCAACTTTTATAATAATTTCACCGAAAATTCTTGACCGAGAAGTTCATAGCAAAACTAGAGAGAGTTTATAAGCCTTACCTCTCTTAGATTTATTTGGGACCTCCACAGACAACATTTCTCCTAAAGCCTTAAACCTGGGGGTTCTCAAAATCTAAATTAGCACCCTTTCATCTCCAACTTTCTGACAGATCCTAACACTGATCTACCTACCCATTCGCCTCTAATTGTACAGCCTAGAGAAGTCTGTCCTGGCAGAAGCCAAGGAGCAAGAGGTCACCACATGTCAGAGCATCCTCTATAAGGTTCTTCAAAATAAAAAAATTGATCCATCGGATCCAGACTCCGAAAAAATTTCACTAAACAGTGGACTTAACATTTGGTTGAACAAAATCTGAGATGTCAAACTTTTGAAAAGTTTGAAGAGTCTTAAGGTTTTTGATATAGGTTTGCTTTCTTTGGATAGGATTGCTTCTAAAAATAGGCGTTTTGTTTTAAACTTCTTACAATCCTCATTCCCAAATAAAATTAAGAATCTCGATTTTTGGCCCAGTGACCAAATGGATCTGAAAAGGTCAAACTACTTAAACTCCCTGACCACACTCAGCTCAAAAGTCGTTCGAAAAGTTCAGTTTGGATATTTCAGAATGGGCCTGCCCCAACTCAAGAGGCTCGTGGCAGCTTTTAGACATGTGAGAACTTTGGTATTCAGAAATTGCTGGCTATCTATCCCAAGTGTTCCTGATTTGTCAAAGGCTCTGAAGAATTGCCAAATCCAGCAAATATATTTATTCGAATCAGGACACTCGGATTGAAGTGATTGGAAGAACAACTTCGACGAGTTCGAGAACTTGGTGCAAGGGTTAGCAAGCTCTTCAGATTTAAGATTGAGTCTTGAAGATTTAATTGTCTATGACTGCGGAGTAACCAAAAATAAAGTTGAACAAGTCTTTGAAGAAAACCTGCTTGGAGGAGTTAACATAATTGGTAGAGAATAAATTTTGGCTAAATTTCTTATTTTTACTACTTCGGCTTAAATCCTGCTTTCTCCATATTTACCACTTGGTTACTTTTAATATATTTCAGGGTTTCAATTAAGCTCGTGTTTATTGGGGTTTTGGGGTTTTGGGGTTTTGGGGTTTTGGGGTTTTGGGG